CATTCGAACTCGGTTCTAAGCTACAACAAAGCATGTAGGAAAAAACGAAGTGTTTCTCACACCCTGTCCTCAACGTGCTCAGTCAACATCTTCACCAAGCCAAGTCAACAGTTGTTGCAAGCCTCCCAACAGGTCTCTTGCTGCATCTCCTCGCACCACTTGAGCTGACGGTGGCTCTTCGATGGCGCTGTCGCAATTCGGAGCTAAGAGAACACCAATGACTGATTCCACGTTCTTCACCTGCACTTCGTTCATCGCCGCAGCTGCATTCTGGGCGATTTGTCCCGCCTTTTCTTCGCAGCTTTTGGCGTTGGTAGCTCCAGTCACATCCACCAGCACCTGATGCCGGAAAGCACATTGAAACCTGTAGATTCAATGGCAGAAATGCAATACACCGTTTCCCTTTGCAACTGAGCCCCGGACCAACTCATTCGCTTCCGTCTTGAACCAAATATCGAAGCCTTGGTGAGTGCCAGCCTTGCCACCTTCTGAAAGTGCGTGATAAATGACACCATCCTCAATGCAGCGGATGCCATCAATGCTGGGTGTTCCCTTCTTTGTGAAGACTCTGGCGCTCTTCCCATTGAACTGCTTGATTCCATCGCGTAGCTCTTTGCACTGGAAAAGGAACTCACGCCCCACGTTGTCCAGCGGAAATCGACCGGCTGCTTGGGCAGCTTTGCAGGCAATAGCCCATGCGTATGCCCGCTCCAACACCAGACCATCGCACCAGTCAGACTTTCCCAGAATAGATTGTCTGAACATACTTTGCCCATCGCAAAAAAGATTGAAGCTCTTGCCCTTGTCGTCGCGAGCTGCCAGCAACATCTCAAGCGGAAGGGTGAGCTTCCGATTGTCCAATGACACCACTCCAGGGTACCTGCTGTCGTCTGCCTCAGAGTCTTCGACGCCCAGCAGCAAGTCAACTGCTCCAGAGACCTGCTTGCCTTGCTGTGGCAGGATAACACTGATGCTGGTGATAGCTCCAATGAGCTTCCTCTCAAGGTCTGTGTCTGCGTCGAGCGCCTCTTGCACTTTCATGAAGGTTCTGCACAATTCGCTCTTCTCATCCTGTTTAATGTGGAGTTGGTCAAGACCAATGTTTCGCCCCAAAAGGAAGAGGCTCAGCTTGACTCGCAGTGTTGCGAGCAATCGCCGTGCCTTGCCATTCCAGTCACCTGAAGGAAGCCTGATTCTTGGCAAGCCCGCCGCCGTGGCTGGCGCATCATCTGAAGCGTCAAAAGTCATCAAGAGCCCAACATCCACCAGCATCATGGCAATTGCAAACCTGCAGACTTTGGACGAGCCCTGCGCAGGCAAGTCCGGCGGTTCAAGGTAGGTGGCAATCACCCGACATCTCGCTGGGATTGAGCCAGCAAGCTGCATTGCTCCTCGCTTGAACTCGGCTGATGCGCTCATCGAGCGGTGCTCATCAATGTGGAGGAGGAGACGATTGCTCTGATTTTTCTGCAAAAACTTATGGACCTCCTCCTTGAACTTTGCCATTGTGTCTTCAAGGTCTGGCAACTGTGAAGGGAGAGTCCATGTTGAGCTGCGTGAATATGTTCCGTTCATCTGCCTCCTGAAGCAGTGGAGCATGAAGTCAGCACCTGCCCGCTCCAGCTCATCAGTCTCCAAATCGCGCAGTTGGCGGTTGGGCGCAGGGCTGTGACCTCACACACTTGCAAAGCGCTCAGAAGACATGTTACCCTGAACAAACATTGAGGATGAAATGCCCTTCCAAATGAATATCCAGAGACCGCGCTAAGTGTAACGCGAGTTGCTATTCCCATCGTTGTTGGCAAATGGCATGTACAAGTAGTGGGTGAAACTGTTCTCGCTGCCCAGTTCTACACTTCGGCAAAACATTGGAAGAATGGCTGCGGATTTGCCCCGCATGGTTGGTGCTGACAGGTAAGCCACGCGATCTCTGCGCTGCCCTGTTCTCTCTAAGCGGTTCACGGCAACATCCAAATCATGTTCACGGCAGAAATAAGGCCGTGAATGCAGCTTGCTTGCTCCATCATCGCCTTCTCTCACTGGCAAGGACGCTTCATACGACGTCCATGAATGCAGCACGGGGATGTCCCCTGCTTTCATTGTAGGCTCAAAGGCGTCCTTTATCCTCGCCGCCAAGCAGTCGGCGCCGCGAAAGGCACTCCACCACCGTGATGCATGACAGCCAATGGCAGTGCCCTCACGAAGCCTGCACTTCCGCACATCAGCTCCAGCAAAGCCCTGTGAGAACAAGCCGATGATGTCGCACGCAATCCAAAGCAGCAAGGAACCCTTGAGAAGGCATGACCGTCGATTGAATGGAAATTGACGAGCCGGCATGGCGCTGTCTGCACTCAAAGAAGAATAGACGATTGAATAGTAGGGAACTTGAGCACACACGCTCTCGGTAGGCAGCTTCAAAGCCAGTCCAATTCTCTCAAACACGCGCTTGCCCTTTTGAGTCTTGTCCGTCTTGGGAGCACCAAAGGAGCCCGCAGAAAAAATCCAATAAAAAACAACAATAAAAATCTAAGAAATCATGTGGAACATGCACAGAAAATCATGAGAAGATCTTGGATTTTGTTCAACCTTTTTTAACACCCACACTTTGAGCCAAAACGACGTTCTGTACAGCGATGCTCAAGATGCTCACAACCTCCGAGCGCTCAAGATGTAAAGGGCACGCTGCCAATGCCCGGAGCCAATGACCCACGGCGAGGCTTCGGTGCTTTGGTGGCACTGGCCTGGGTTGACGGGCCCTTTTGGGCTAAATAGAGGGAAAGGAATGAAGAGTGTTCTGTTCTGCCGAGTCCTGAATGGCTTTCGCTTCAAAACAAAAGAAGCCCTTTGCAACCACACTATTCGAAAGCACTCCTTGCCCGAGGAAGTCCACACCACCACCCAAGAAGAGAACTGGGTCATCGTCCCCTATGGCACAGAAACCCTGACCAAAGCCCCGCTCCCTTGCGATAAAGTAAAGCATGACCAAAATCAAGGTCTTTCCGAGTCCCTCCTACGACACCAAGCAACCCTGCGACCCAGTAGTCCCGAAGCTGCCCTGTACTGGGATCCGAGGGCTTAATGCTCACATGTCCTCAAAAAG